AAGAACACTACGGCCTCTTCAAGGGTCCGCCTGTGCAGCTCATCTGTCCGAAAGACCTGAACTTCATGTATGTGCCGAGCCACCTCGTGCGTCCTTCAGCCCTTTTCTTGGTCATCCGCTTTTCTTCACACCGACTGACTCTCCTCGCGAATGCGTATACAGAACCATGTGCTCTTCGAAGTCCTGAAGAATTCGCTCCGAGCCGTCGTCGAGACGCACGGCGTCGACTGCGAGAACTACCCGCCTGTCAAAGTCATCGTGGCCGAGGGTTCGGAGGTGCGCCACTTCCGTGTGATCTGCTTCCGAGTAAGAGGGACTGATTGACCCGCGACCCTTGATAGGACATCACGATCAAGATCTCGGATGAGGGGGGTGGCATCCCGCGAAGTGCACTGCCGCTTGTTTGGACTTGGATGTATGTACCGAGGCGAACTTGCTGTCTCTCTTGCGCCCGCTGACGATCTCGGACACCAGGTACACCACCGCCAATCCGGAGAACCTTGAGCAAGATTTCGAAGGAACCGACTTCAAGGCTCCGATGGCCGGGTTCGGTATGCGCTGTTTCTGATCTTCTCACCGGTGCATACTCTCTCTCTGACGTGCGCCACATCTTCTCCACCTTGCAGGCTACGGTTTGCCGATCGCGCGCCTTTACGCGCAGTATTTCGGTGGAAACCTCAAGCTGATCTCGATGGAAGGGTGCGGCTTTTCTGACCTACTCGCCCTTACACCGTGCCCGGTCCTGGACTCACCCGCTTCCTGTCCAACAGGTACGGGACCGATTGCTACATCCATCTTAGCCGACTGAGTCAGAGCTCGGAACCTCTTCAGGTGCGTGAACAACAGTCCCTCGATGGCTTCCGCAGGCACCCCTGACGGGTTCTCTGCCACGACAGTGACGTGCAAGATTTCGATGCCAGTTTGTTGTAGCATTCTCATGTACAGCCCTTCCTTCTCCTGCCCGCGTCTGCTTACATTGCGCTACGCTGTGGGTCCGCCCTCTGTGTCCTTTCTCTGTGTCTAGCGGGAAGGTCTTGACGACTCATGGACATGCTAGCATCTTTCTTGCCGAGGAAGTGTGCTGGGGGTGTGCGCCCGAGCAAAAACACCCGTTAGTTTGAGGTGGGCGCTGTCCTGATCAAGGTCCCTCATCCCCTCTTCCTCTTGTCATTCTCAATTTTCCCTGTGCTGTTTGCTCTCTCTCTCTCTCTCTCTCTCTCTCTCTCTCTCTCTCTCTCTCTCTCTCTCTCTCTCTCTGCTGTTGCTGCAATGTGCTGGGCTGGTACCCTTATAGTCCGTTGTGGCAGTCTGGACGCATGATCTCTCATGCGCGACTAAATCTGTGAGACCAGGAAAAATGATTCGGCCCGTCTCGTGAACGCTTGCAGGCACCCAGCCGTATGGTCCAGAAACCTACATGCAGCAGGCTAAAAGTGGCTAGAGAAGACGAAACATGTTTCAGCAATTGGTCATTGCCACCATTCAGCATCAATTGCGCCGCCAAGCTTGAAACACCGCCTGGCACTGCTAGTCCTGCTCCTGCGGATCCTTCCGCTCTCGCTCACTCCAAGTCCTCTTCCGATTCTAAACCCTTTTCCTCTCGCTTGTTTTCTTTCGAACCTTTGCTGACTTGATCCTTCCCAGATGAGTGGGACAAGGCCGACAAGCGGCAAACCCGAAACTTTTGAAGGAAAGACAGACATTTCCAACCGCATTTTGCCATGAAGGTGCAATGAAAGCTCATTCAAGTCAAGTAGCGACTACCCCTGCACTAGCGCTATGCCTGCAAATCAGTATCTAGCCTTCAGACTGCTGACTTTAATAGAGACGCAGTTCAAAGACAGCAGAAGCAACTACAGAAATGATGCAAAGCGCACTTGTCTCAAGCAGGAGCAAGACAAGGAAGCTCTGCCAGAGGACAAAGGAAGCGAAGAATGGTACGTAGCGTCATGTAGCCCAATCAACTGAATTGGGTATTCCTCCAGGTCGTAACGGAGTTACAACAAGAAAGAGCCTTTGCGGCGCGCAAAAATGTTGTCCAACATCCATCATCTAATGTCTTGTCCAGTCCTTGCAGGTAACTTTGATCTTGAGCATTGTAGAGAGAAGATTCTAACAGTGAAAGAGTAACGTGAGCAAAGGTTGAACCAAAGACGAGCGACTTTCGAAGGGAAGGGCTTAGGGGACTAAAGATGAGCAAGTTCAAGCACGATGGAGTGCCAGCCCAGCAGATGTCAAGCTCATCTGTAGGGTCTGCAGCAATAGAGAGCTTTAGGCTAGCAGTTACAACAGCTAGCGCACTACACTGTGAGCAAATTGTCTGCAAGTCATGTACAGAGATGAAAGTCGAAGTTGACACAATGAGCAGGGCAGAGCAGTTTCTTTTTGCCTTGGTTGCTGGAGAGAACAGATACAAGAGCCTAGGCTAGAGAGAAAAGGAAAAGAAAGAACTCTCAAAATGGGCAAGGATGGCATGTGCTATCATAGTGAGTCGTTCACCCACATGTTGAACATTTGCTTTTGACCGGCGATTCTGCCATTGCTCTTGATTCTGCTGCTTCCAAATTGTACATATAGATGGACACTACACTTGCCTGCAAAAGTCTGAATTTTTGTCGCTCATAGTCAAGAGACTCGGCAGTTCTGGGCGGTCAAAGTTTTCCAGCGCAAATCGGCGCAAAAAAAGTGCTACTCTTAGTGAACATCAGCTTTCCCGCATGCCAGCTTGCTTCAGAAAGCATCTATGGTCATAGGGGAAGAGATGACCCCACTGTGGAAAAAAAAAGCGCTGCTGGAGAGGTGATGCTGGCCTGGTGAGGGTAGAAAGGAATTAGCCGCGAACAGGGATCCTAAGTGTACACGCTCAATCTTAGCTGCCCAAAAGTACTTCTTCATCATGCAATGACCTTATATGCTCAACCGTATGCAAAAAGAGGCTTCTCTGGGGACTCTGAAGGCAAGACTTGGGCGCAAGTGACGGGTCATCTGGCAGCGAGTGCCGGAAGAGCCGTACAGGGGCAATGCGGTTCAGAAGATAATTTCCATCTCTTTGCATCACTCCCCTGGTATGCTGGACTTGGAAATCTCAGCAAAAGAACGGCTTACAAGACAATCTTGCAACGCTTTCCGGCAGCGCACTTGACAGCCTTGGTCTGGAATCCGCTGCGTAATCGCGTGTTTTAGGTGTCCCTAACCACGAATATCCAACCAAAAGTGGATTTTTGGCCGAAAGAGGCTGTTATACTGACATTTGATTGAGAGAGACCCGAATTTTGCTTGCTCCTTTTCCGGCAACCATGGCTCAAACACAAGCATGGACTGTCTACTTTGGCATGTGAGCTCACAGACTGGATCCTGTGTGTGTGCAACAGATCTGCCTGTATGCTACTAAACATAGTAGCTGTCATTGCGGAGCCTGGCGGAGAGCAAAGTGCGCTTTGAGAAGGTGGCCACACAAGTTCCCAGCAGGGCAATACAGGGCTTTCTGCTCTAAAGTGAGCCCTACACACCAAGTCACTGGTAGGAGATATGAGAAAGGGACCTCTACGGGGAAAGAAAGAAGAGGGGAGAGGAGAATGGAGAGAGAGGGAGGGGGAAGAGGCAGGAAGAGGAGGAGCAGGGGAGAAAGGGGAGGCTGGAAGAATAGGCAGAGGGATGGAGGAAAGGCTGTACATTCTAATCTGGAGAGGAAGACATATAGTACCGTATGTATAGGCAGCATGCAAGTAACTAGGAGGCAGGGGCCAGGGGGTCGGAGCTCCACCTTTGTGTTGTGGAGCTCCAGGCAAAAACCGCGGAGGCCCATGGGCCCAAAATCTGGCGGCCCTTGACCGCGAGACCCTGTCGAGCGACCCCTCTGAAAGACCCAAAACTAAAGTTTCGGGAACTATTCGGTTCGCACCCGAGGGCTTGCCATCGTACTTCTCTACTCTGCAGCTTCGAAAATCAAAGTCTCCGCACTCTGATAAGCTCGTTGCGGCAAGCGTCGCTTCCGCACTGCAAACTCCGTCGAAAGCGACCACCAGCAAGACCACATCTCTGCGGCCCGCCGTCAAGTTGTTCAACGGTCCTAGACTACGTGTTGACACTGTGTTTGCTCCCCTGCGGCTTCATGCCGCATGGAAAGACTGGAGCAAGGCGGAACAGCGATTATCGCTGGCATCCCTGCAATCGGCCGCCCGACTGGCGCACATGCTTGACACGCGTCTCCTACTGCTACAGCAAAGAGTGATATCCACCGTGTTTGGAGGCATAGTTGTGAGTTTAGCCTTGCTTTATCTCGCTTGGTCATGAGCAGCTATGTATGCGCTTTGAAAAATCCGGCGCAGGCAGGTGGACCTTCTCAAAAAGCCCGGGCCACCCGTGGCGTAGTTAGGAGTGGTCCAAGCAGCCCTCCAGTATATAGTAGAGTTAGTTCCGCTATTTAAGGCGAGTTGTTGTAAGCCAGTCCGTCGCGGGCAAAGGGACACACGCTGGCCCGTCAGTTTGGGCGATCCGGGGTTCTCCGCTCGACTGACTGAGGCAACTATACGGGTCGCTCCATTTGACCATGATGCACCCGTTTGCATACGTGCTAGAGTGCGCCCCGAGCTCCGCTTCTAACAGGGGACGCAATCGTCGCGTTCCGAGGCGACAACTCCCAGAGGCGGAGATCTCGCTGCCCCGCCCGTGCATAGACGCACCGAATCTGGTCAAACAGGCCACTACGGCGAGAGAGAGAGAGGGGGATGGGGGAGGGGGCAAGCTCTCGGCGGGGGATGGGTTGGCTTGACGCGTTCGGTTGGCGGGACGAGGAGGGGCTGGCTACCTGGCGACATCCTGCGGCGGCATCTACATGAATCCGCTGTCGTGGTATAACGGCTATTATCTGGCCTTCCAAGCAAAGGGAACACCGTAGTCCGGGAAACACCCTTTCTGCAGAACAGTCTTGAGTTCGGTTGGCGGGACGAGGAGGACGGCGGGACAAGGCGACATCCTGCGGCGGCATCTACATCGATCAAGCTGTCGTGGTATAACGGCTATTATCTTTGCCTTCCAAGCAAAGGAAACGGGTTCGACTCCCGTCGACAGCAATATCTTTTGCGTACTGCGGTTTCAAGCAGTTCGCAGTGGCGGCGGCTGCTTTTTTGGCTTCGGTCACCCCTTTCCGCCCTCCAGACGGCATCGGTCTTGACACTTTTATAGGCGTGTGATGTACCTGTACATGCGTACCAGAGCATGTGTAGCCACCGCGCGGAAAGGACAGAGCGCCCAGGACCGAGTGGCGAAAAACACGAAGGAACCTCCGGTTACCCACGATCCGGACTTCCTACACAAGACAGGCCAGCTAAGACTTTGTCTCAGTAGAGCAGAAACATGCTACAAGGTGAGTAGAGAAGGAGAGGTAAAGGGGCGGAAAGGGAGGAAAGAGCTGTTTAGCCCGAGCCGCCGGCGTAGACCTTGCCGAAGACGAGCTCCTGGAGCTTGTCGTACATGGACAAGACACCAGCTCCTGCAACTCCGCGGAGGATGTTTGCACCAGCACCCTTGAAGCTGTGTGTGTAGGTGAGTGGGGGGAAGATGGGAAGAAGGCCAAATGCGCACCGAGAAGGGGCAGTTGAACACCAGGGCGTCGAGGCGTCGTCCTTGCTGCGATCTCATTACCACATTTATCGTTGAAAATGTGCATACAGCATCATTGTGCAGTCATCAAGAATCTATTTCGACGCGAGTCAAGCGATAAGCAGCCTTTCGCGCGGTGGCGGCAAAGCGGATCTTTTTCGCTGGCCCGTGACAACACGGCGCCTTATCCTACAGGCGCTGGGGTATAGACCCGAATAAAGTGTATTCCCCAATGCGCTAAGAAATGCATACAGAGGACCGCCGCCGGAGGAATAAAGCGGAGGGCAGGAAGCCGGCAAATCAGTACAAGGACGTCAGCTCTCATCTACCGCCGATTGCAGCACTGCTCCGAGCACAGGAAACTTAACTCGCGAAGGAACCGGGTACGAGGGACGCGATGAATCTCGCTCGATGGTCGGGAATGGCGCGAGCCTTTGCCACCGCGTTGCCACTGAAAAGAGGACAAGATCACAGCGCATTCAACAGCAGCTCTATTTTCACTTCCGGAGGACGTGCCCGCGAGAATGCAAAGGACTTTTGAAAGCGACCAGTACCCGAGTCAACTACGGCACACGCGGGCGGATCGGTTGGCGCCAGGACTCGATGTCGCGGCGGCGGTTGCCTTGTGCACCGATCCGACGTAGCCGCTCGTAGAGCTCGAGCCGGGTCTCTTGGCTGTAGCGAGTGTGAGATGTCAGCGCTCATGGGCGAAAGACAGAAAAGCAGACGGAACGCACTCGTTCTTGCAACGAAGTTCTGCAAAGTTGTAATCCAGCACCAGCTCGCTGTAGTCCGAGTTCCCTTTGTGGCGATCGGCCTTGACTCGAAGGGCTTTGAGTCGGATCTGCTCGTCCTCCCGCTTCGCGCTGAGCGTGGAGCCGAGTCGGTTCAGCATCTTGTCCGAAGCGAGTTCGAGGTAGGCACTCTTGAGAAGCGCAAGCTGGACAATGTCTGAAAGCCGTCCAGGGTGTCAGTTGCCCACCATCGCAAAGGTAGGTGGCGAAAGGACGCACGCGTGTACCAGATCCAGTTGTTCTCGTACACGAGCTGGAGTACCGACCGGCCCGACTTGTTCGAGAGGCTGTCGGGTTGTCCGAAGACGGTGTCGAGCACACGGCCAAGGTCCTCCGTCGAGAGCCCATGCCGGTCGCGCAGAAAGTCGATTTCGTCGTTCCAACTGCGCCAGTGCTCTGGAGTCCAGAGGGGACAGCGACATGCTCGACCACGACCGGCAACCGGCTTGTGCCGCTCCGAGTGCGACGCTTCGAGCAGATCGGTCCACAGCATGGCGCAAACCGCGAATGAAGGACGAGTCGACAAGAGCTTCTCGGAGCTCGTCGATTGAAAGTCTCGGGTCGGGAAAAAGCGCTCGGATGGGAGGGCAACGCCGAGTTTCTCGAGCTGGTCGCAATCTTCTCGATAAGCCGTGTACAACATCCCCCTTGCCGAAAGAAACCGTGATTCGTCAGGACATGGAACCCGACAATAAGCGCAAAAAGAAGGGATACTCACTCGGGGAGAGCCTCGACATCCCTCTCGACGATCGCGAACCACCGACTGAGCGCGCCCGCCCGTGTCGGCTTGCGGAAGTACGCTTGCACCTCAAGGAGATCGACATCTTCGTACTTTGGTGCCAACACGGCTTCGGGCGCCTCTTCTTCTTCGTAGTCCGGCAGCTCGTCCGAGGCGTCGGCAGCGTGCGCGCCGAGTGGACCGCAGCCGCTTCCGGCATCGTCATCATTACCCACCGCCGATCCGGCAACGAGCGGCGAGTCGTCCCTCTCGGCACTCGGACCCGCGCGGGAGTCGTTCGCGTCGGAAGCCGGGTCGGGCTGAGCGGTGATAGCCCTGGATGGAGGCCTCTCCCGAACCGGGACGCGGTCTACCCTCGCATTCAGGGGCAAATTCTTGGTCTGCTCGGCAAGCGCGTTCGAAAGACGCGCTTTGACGGACAGTGGCGTGTACTCCGGAGCCGGGAGGTCCATGCCCGCGAGGAAGTCGGTGGCTGCGAAGGAGGGTGCGAGGTCAACGACAAGCAGGCGCCAACACCAAAAGGGAGTTACTCAAGAACTCACCCTGCGCTTCGACCTGTCTTTGGATCTCTTTGGCCGTCTTTTTCCGCCTTTTCCGCGGCCTCGGTTGCAGAGCGTTCGAGCCTCGCGGGGCCCGCCCCCTCCCACTTCGGCGGCCCCTCTCCTCCTCCTCCTCGTCGTCGAATGCAGCGCCAGAAGCGTCAGAGTCTTCGTCGGAAGATGCCGCACTGAAAAGCGAGATCCGGTTCGATCGCTCCGAGGGAGCATAAGTTTCCGACCGGGCGCTCTGACCTCGCTCCGATCGGTCCAGGTCGTCTTCGGAATCGGAAGCTCCTCGCGCGACGCCTAGCCCAACACCGTTCCGAGAGTGGAGACCACTCGGCCCGGCGACTGGCGGCCATTCCGCCGCTCCCTCCACGTCGGCCGTCGATTCTCGGGCCAGCGGCGAGTCGAGGTGCGGCCGCGTCTTGTGGAGCGGGACCGGCGGCGGGGCCATCCTCCCCTGAAACTCGTCCCAGGCACCATCCTCATCGTCACCGCCGGCGTCCGACCCATACTCGCCAAACAGCTCGGCCAAGACTGCGGCGTCGCGTTCTTCGCGGAGGTGCTCTTCCGCCTTGTCGAGCTTGGCCTCCAGCTCCGTGCGCGGCGGTTCGACGGACGGAGCCGGTTCGCGTTCGTGGCGAGGTGCATTGCGGAGGTGTAGCAGCTTCTGTTGGGCGGCGTGCTGCTCAACTGCGCGCCGGGAGATGAACGGCGAAGGCGCGTGAGAGCGCTGGCGAGAGACGTAGGGTTTCTCTTCCCGCACGCTTTCGGCGTCCGGATCGACGCTCTGGCTTATACTGCGCCTTGCAGCGTACGCGGCATGGTACGACATTGTCCCGTCCGAACCTTCTGAGCGCGAAAAGAGGGTCGTGTCGGTAGTCTTCCTGGCCGGAAAGCGACGGCGACACCTCGTTCTCAGGGCCTCGGACCGATCTGCAACTTCTTGCTCGACTCTTTGACTGCTTAGATCAAACGCGTCTGAAGCTGTTCAGGACGATTTGGAGGGTATGTGCGCATCAGCTTCGTGTGAGGGCGGTGTGACGCTCGACCCGCTCGCGATCCGTGACTTGCGGCTCGGTCTAGGCGCGTACCGAGTCTTGAGACTGCGACTGTAGGCCCTGTACTATGCTGCGTCTGCTCCGGGGGACGTATGCCTGCTGCCGCGTTGTCGAAATGTGGTGCCCAGCAGACGGACTGCGAGCAGTGCACTCTCTCTCTATACCCGCAGCGCGCGTCTCCCTCCGAGCTCGAGGCTTTAGAGCGTGAGTTGCAGGCGGAGCGAGGCCATTCAGAGCGGGTGCGAGGTCTAGATCCACTTGCCCGGATCCCCAAAACTGGTATCTGGGCTACTGTAACTGAATTACAAGTTGAGTACAAGTGATTACCGGGGAGTGAATATCGGGTTTTGTCGGAACCGGCCGGAGTGCGAGGCGGCGCGCGCGGAAAGAAGAGACCGAGCTGGCACGAGTTGGGCGCGTGTCGGCGGCGAGCTCTGCTCTTGTTCTCCAGCACTCGCTCAAGGTCACTCCACCAGGTAAGCAGCGCGGTCCTAGACCCCGAAACACACACTGCACGCCCTATCGTCTGCAACGCACGTTCACCCGAGCTGACCGCTTGCCGTCCATCGCCCCAATCTCTCGCCCCCTCCCCTTCGTCCCCTCGAACAGGAAAACTTTGTACCTCGCTCGCCATGGCCAAGAAGTCCAAGACCCCGCAGGAGTTCTTCACCGACTTCATGATGGGTGGTGTCTCGTGAGTTTCCAACTGCCGAGACTACAGCGTCGCGCGAGGAGCGAGGGAGCGAGCCGCGGGTGGTCCGTCCACGCCGGATCGTGGCGGCGTGGTCTCGCTCGCTCGCCCCGCTCTCGCCCTGCTGGGCGCGTACGAGTATCCGATCGGGACTGTGGAACTGACCATGGATCGAATGCAAACAGCGCCGCCGTCGCCAAGACGGCTGCTGCCCCCATCGAGCGTATCAAGCGTGAGTCGCGATATCCCTCGGCCTGGCTCGCCCACCGCGCTCGCGCATCGCCCGCGCTCCAGAGCTTCTGTAACGAGTTCTTTGTACTGACTCGACCACTCGAAATGCAGTCCTGGTCCAGAACCAGGGCGAGATGCTCAAGTCGGGCCGTCTCGCTACCCCTTACAAGGGTATCGCCGACTGCGCTGCCCGTACCTACGCCGACGAGGGCCTCGTTGCCTGTGCGTGCCCTTGTTCCTTGCTTTCACAGTCGCCGTCGAGGAGATGCTCCCGATCGGCGGTGATAGCTCCCACAGGAAGGTGTCGCAGGCTGACCCCGGTCGTCGTCATCCCACACCACAGTCTGGCGTGGTAACACGGCCAACGTCATCCGTTACTTCCCGACGCAGGCCCTCAACTTTGCCTTCAAGGA